TTCAAATTATTTTACGTATTTATAACCAGTTTATTTCCTATCTACACAGGTTTAATATTTAAACATTCAGTTTCTTTCTTTTTATTTGTGTTGTAACATTTCGCTGGAATCCAGCAGGTTGTTACTGAACTCAACATTAATCTCTTTCCAACGGTTGCTGGATTTAATCGATTGATAGAGGTATTAATCACATTACAGAAAAGCATTATTCTCTTTAGGTAAATATTCGTCTTCAATTTGAGATAGTAAAATTTGTCCAATGACCTATAAATTTTAAAATAAATCATGGATTTACCCTTACCTAACTTTCTCCGGGATTCTGCAACTATAAGTGTATTAGTTTTATTATAGGATTTAATCTGACAGTTAATTATTCTAAGATGACAGTTAAATGTTCACTTTTTTATTTTGTTATTTATTTATTTACAAATATAATAATCTGTCCGGGGTGGCGGTCATAAATAGACTAAATAGTGGCAAAACTATTTTATTAAAAGCCAACATTTCGATCCGACTTTGAAGGTCTTCTTCAGGAAAGTGTGTTCGGCAAGAATTTTCGCTTAGGACTCAAGTTAAACTCTTTTCACTCTCTCCTTTGAGTTCTAAGTGAAACTCCTTTCTGAACACACCTCCCTGAAGAAGAACGGCAAAGTCGGGTCGAAACGTTGGCTTTTAATAAAATAGTTTTGCCACTATTTAGTCTATTTATGACAGCCATCCCGGACTATCTTGTTCCTTAGCTTTATTTTATTTTTTAGGAATATGAAAATAATTTTTATTTTGTAATTTTCTACTTATCAAACAGTAAACACGTGCGGATATTATTAAGACTAGATTTCGTTAAATAATAAGATTAATTATCAACTTAGGACTGATCACGAATTAGACTAAGATCACCTCAACCCTCATTAAATAGTTAATTCTTGGATTAAATCCTGAAATAAAAGTAATCCAGTGATCGTTGAATCCCGGAGAAAGCTAGATAAGGATAAATTCAAGATTTTTTTTTTTAATTCGGAGTTCATTGAACAATTTTTTATTTAGAATCGATGATGATGATACCTAAAATGAATAATGCTTAAAAGGACAATCGAATTTCTATAATTTTATTTTAAAACAGTTAATTTAATTGCAATCCTTCTGTAGCAACATCGGCGATATATTGCAATTATTCACTAGCACAAGTAAAATTTCACAAAATGAAATCATTAAGTACTTTAATATATTTTTCCTCTGTGAAGGCAGAACATTGTGCACTTGTGGTAACTATATTTGATATATAAAAGAGTTCGTGAATTTTTATAGACTAATTATGTTTTTATATTAGTAAGTAGTAAGAGAAGTGATTTATGTTGAGTTTAATAACGACCTGCTGGATTAAGGTTAACACAGACAAAAAAAAAAATTGAATTCTTAAATATCAAAAGTGAAAAAAATATAGATAGGAAGTAAACTGATTATAAATTCGTAAAGTAAATTGAAAAATAACAATTGAGGCTACATCTATGAGATCTATTGACCACAAAATCCGATGAAACCACTGATTCATCAGTGATTCAATCGATCTGAAATAAATCGATGGTTTCTCGATAGCATTGATGAGCTCAGAGCTGATTTTAGGAATCTGCCTCCATTTTAAGACTCTTTTGTAACTCTACGCTTCAATGATATTGGAGTATTGGCCAATGGCTTCAAAATTTAAGCTTTACCCAAAATACTTTTCGACTAATTAAAAAAACAGTTATTGATAATAAGCAATATTTATTTCTTACAACCAAATTATATTGACTAGATCCCTCAATGAAATTCGAAACCATTCATGATTTTGATTCCTACGCAGACCACAAGAACCTCATGTCCTTAACCTCAAGCTCTAACGGAACCGCATTATTAGGCTGTCTGGGGCACCTGTCACGCCTGGGGAAGCCATTCTCCTCAATACATCTTGATCGCTCCGGATCCAGACAAGCAATCCATATTCAATCCATTGTCTCCTGAGGATCCATCTATGTTTCTAGGACACGTTTCCTAGGTGTCTAAATAACTCTGTCAATATATGTATACGTGTTATCAATTTGGGCGAAGATATCAAGTTTAATTTGTGTTAGTTTCTTTTTTATCACCAAATATTTGTTTTTAAGACAAGAGGAGTATTAAGAGTGCTCGAAAATAATTAAAACGCGTATTAAATCTTTCGAAAATAATCTAAATATATTTATGTTATCATATCTCAACCTTGAAATTTAAACCAATTGAGATATTAAATGTATGTTCATTCAGATTAACAACCGTGAAATATATTGGCATTTAATAATTAACCTATTTAAAAAATCGAATAAATTTTTAGGCCAAAAAATATAATTTGAAAACTTCAAGCGAATATATGTTTTTTGGACTCGGGCTTATTTTTTTATTTTTTCTGCATAAAAACAACCAATATATGTTTTGTTTCACACCTTGATATATTTTTTTCTCATTTCCGCTTTGGAACAGACGGAGTATTTTTTTGTTTTATTTTTTATGAAATCACATAAAAATAAATTAAATTAAATTTTAAATAATCGATTAAATTCGGTTATAACCTCTCTTTAAACTTGACTGTTCTTAACAAAACTATTAAGTAAACATATTTTTTAGTGAAAAATAAGTTAATACAGAAGTTTGAACCAATGTTAAGCGTGATAAATTGAAAATTTATAAATCAATATGTGTTTTAGATTCTATGTTCAAAAAATACATGATCAGTTTTTGTTTTGTTTTTTCTGTCATTTATTTAAATTTCTTAAAGTTTAAATTTATGTAATAAACTTACTTATAGTTTTATCTCTGATGTATTATTGGATAAAAAAATATACAATCATAAAAAAAATAGTTTTCGGGCATTTATTTTTGTGCATTATTACTGATTCGTATCCTGATTTTCGTTTTAAAAAGAAAATAAAAAATCGATATTTATATCCAATGAAATCCTATTATAAATACTTATTTATTACATAATAATGCTTGATTGAATAAATAATAAAAGTTAATAATAATATGACATGGAAATCCGTCTGCCGGAAATTATATACAATATATTACAGGTATAGTACGATAATTAACATTATTAGTACATTAAAACATAATATGAAAATATAATAATTAATAAACCTGCCAGAAATAATTATATATATATATATATATATATATATATATATATATATATATATTAATAAATAACCACAAATATTGTAAGAAGAAAAAATATAGAATGATTTAAATACCGAATAATGATTGATTTCTATTTAATAGAAATGGATGAAATTTCTAATTAATAGAAATTTAAATGAAATAGAAATGGAACAAATTGAAAATAAAAATGCTCATTTATTGTTTGACGTAAAAAATAAAAAAGACAAATAAAAGGACGCATTTTATTCTTATTATTCGTGTTGCCAAAAATCGGTCTTGGTCTTGCAAAGCGCAAAAGACCATGACAAAGACTGTGTTTGCAAGACCAAGACTCGTCTCGGTCTCGCATTTGGGCAACAGGCAATTTTAGGTACATCTGAAACTGTTTTAGATAAGTTAGAAATATTTGTATAATTTTCTGAGTTGCTTGTTATCTTTACAGATATTGAAGAGCACTTGTTACTGTGGCCTATCATTATAAAATTTTCTAAGACCTTTATCATTATTTAGAAAAATAATAATGCTTATGAGATTCTCGAAAATGAATTTATCGATTTTCTCATTTGAAAGCTGTGGCTTCCTATTACATAAGCGAGACATTAAACATTCAATCTCTTGATCACACAATCTCCAACTAATATTGACAGAGAATTACTGTCATTTCTGAGAGCTTAATATGACATGAGATAATTCGCTTAAAATACCTCTATTGACATCTTAGACAATAGAAAACTTTAGTATCTGATATGAATGTCTTTAGTATCAAAACATTTTTTTGTTATATATTTTAATTTATAATTAATATAATTTGTTATTACAATATATTTCATATTAATATGAATGTTTTAGTTAACGGTAGGCAAAAACATCATAATGAAAAGTGAAGTCGTTGCCATGACGACTATCTCAGCACAGCTCTTCTATCCTATATATTATTTCTAAAAGGTGTTTTTTTGTCGGTACGCCATAACTTCGTCAATTTTTCATTAAATCCAATGATTGACCACTCATTTTAAAGATATTCTTCTCCTTCACATGCGAAAAATATGTCCTATCCCTCCCCCCTCCTCCCAAATTTCTAGAAAAAAAGTTATGAAGGAAAAGAAACTTTATTTGAGAATAACTCAAAAAGTATGCCCATGATAAGTAGAAAGATTACTAAATTACCTACAAAACCAAAAAAATAAAATAAAAAAGCGTGAAAATCGGACAATTATTAACAAAGATACAGTCCATTAGTTTTGGTATACTCAATAATTTCTTCCAGTTTAAAGCATTTAGGAGTAGAATAGTCTACTACATTTTTTCCTGGCTGATATATTAACTTTATTATTTCTTAACGGCATTTGGTTGTTCTTACATTTTATTTTTTTAATAATTTAGAAAATCCAATGATCGGGGCATTATTTTGTCTTTATTATTTTTATTATCTTTCCAGTCAACGTTTAAAAATAGGTCTTAGCAAAACAATTTACATAAATATTTTTGTCTATTATGTTTAATGGAATATTGTAATTGACCAAGGAAAAAATATTAATTATTACCTTACATAATAAATAGGAACTACTTATTTCCATCTTGTTTTGCTATTTCTTCACTTAACAAAATTTTCTGCGAATTATTCGCATGGGCCAACTAGTTTGTATTATATTAGCATAAAATAATTGATATATATATATATATATATATATATATATATATAAGGAAACGATGTAATGTGGATACATTTATCAATGTCAACTTCATTCATTCCATGTATTAATTGATATCTATGATTAATTTATGTCCATCATTTTAAAATTAATTAATTTGTGTCATGTTTGTTTCAGAATATACATACGGTGAAATCCCCAGTCGATAATTAAGTCGATAAATCTTATGTGGATTGTTGAAAATTGAAAAAAATAAATAAATAGAATAGTAAGTATAAATAATATTATACAAATAGAATTTTATCTCAGCACGATTTCTGTACACAAGTTTTATTTAAGAATGCTTTTTTTGTTGTGTTTTTTCTTTCTCATACAGTTGCCAAAGAAACAAATAACTATATCAATGTAATGATGTCTATATTTTACAATGAGTTTCCACCTTCATATATTTGTGAAAGTAAGGAATGATATTTGCTTAAATTTGTATAAAATAGTCCAGATGCCCATCATATGGATTTGACGACTGACAGACCGACAGACATGGAACTGAATTTGTTTCGTAGTGCCAAAATGTAAAACGCGAATGTAAATTTTTGATTTTGAGCAGAAAATTATATTTCCGTACGAATACAAAGCTTCCCTGTCCTCAGTCATGAAGAGACAATAATAATCTAAAGTTATTTACTTATTCGAGATTTCCAATTTTACAAATGAATTTTTTTTTTAATTTGTATCACTAAACTGATTTGATAATTTTTTAAAAAAATATTGTATTATATAAAATAAAAGTTAAAAAATCTTTTGTCATTGCAATATTAATTAGGTTATTAATTTTAATTTATAAACTATAAATTTTTAATAACATTTTGATATTAATTTTTAATTATTATAAGTTATAAGTGAATTATTTGCAATAGAAAAAAAAAGCAAAACATACTTTTACAGATATTTTTTTTGCCGAATTATAAATATTTTTGAAATTCTATAAATAGATAAAATAAAGGTGCTTCATAACCATCGTAGGTTGGTCGATTGTTATGAAGTTAAGGCGTAAAACCTGTAGGTTATCAATGCCGTTAATTAACTTTATATATTTTTTTATTTATAGTTATTTTCTGCTAGTGGCGCAAAAAAAAATTATAGGTTAATGTAAGATTCTTTAGTATATTTGCTTTGGATAATATTTTGGAAAAGTTTTTAATTATTTTCTTTCTTATTCCTAGTTATTAGAAAATATAACAATAAAAACATTTAAATTAAAGATATATAAATGTAAAAAATATAGAGCATTTCTTGTTCAAAGTATTTTTAGAACATTTATTTCTTAGTAACTAGATCGGTCGGTTCTCTGTATAATGGGGTGGGTCAGTGCAGGGCAAGAACACGGGCGCGCTAGGTCAACGAACTCGATCAAGAATTATCCCTAGTGTCAATTCTAAGATAGTGTCAATAATAAGTTTAGCTAATGATAATAAATTAATATAATTTAAATAAATTAATAATAAATTTTGATTTGATAATAAATTAAAAATAATTTACTAAAACAAAATAATTATTTTAAAAAGCTAACTTGTTTCTATAATTATCTAAAATTCCTTCTTCGTAAGGTTATGTGCATTTTATCAGTATATTTATAATTTGACTAAACTTGCAAATAAAAGTATACTTATATAAAATATCAATATGTTCAAATAATATCAATAAAATAGAAAATTATAAATTATTGGAAGAGATACCATCATAAATTTTTTTTTAAAAATATATATGTTATTGTAAATGAATAAGTTTATTATTAACTTTTATTTTATAATTTTTTTTTTATTGAAGTTATTTCTTCTATTAATTTATAATTTTCTATTTTATTGATATTATTTGAACATATTGATATTTTATATAGGTATACCTTTATTTAATTTGTTATTGTGATTAGTTTAAATTTATTTTTTGTAGTATTATTTTTCTGTTATTCATTTAATTTATTTTTATTTATTGTACATACGGTGTAAATGAATTTGTATATCACTATTATTAGTTTTGTTAATTGTGACAAAATGTAATATAATTAAATAAATAAAGTTTTGCTAAAATTTTGTCTTCATCTTTTGGGTGGAGGAGAGTAATGCTATTAATTTTACAAAACAAAACTTTTTTTTAACATTAATCTTTTTTGTCATTTTAATTCATCAATGGCATTTTATCATAATTTAAAATTTGTGCAACATATAAAAACACTTTTTTGTAGATGAATTTGCTGAATTTTCATCGAATTCAGTCATATTGTATCTGTTTTTAAAATTTTAAGTTAAGACAAAATGTTACTTGCGGATTAAAATAACGAAGAGATTAATGTTTAAAAAAATGTTTATTTATATAAAACTAATAACAACACTCAATAAAAAAAATTACCCATGAAAATGTGGCCGGCGAAAAAAATATAAATTAACGGAAGAAATATCTTTATAAAAAAATCCAGAATTACTCGTACTTATGATTCTTCCTCGCAAATAATAAATGGATCTTTAGCTTCGTTGCATAATATTTTAAAGATGAAAAATAAGCCTTTTTCATCTTTAAAATATTAGTATTTTTTGCACATAGAAGCTTATGCAACGAAGCTAAAGATCCATTTATTATTTGCGAGGAAGAATCATAAGTACGAGTAATTCTGGATTTTTTTATAAAGATATTTCTTCCGTTAATTTATATTTTTTTCGCCGGCCACATTTTATATATATATATATAATCTTTTTTAACCGGAAAATCTCAAAATAGCACTTTTCAATAAAATTGTTCTTACGGGCCCTTAGCAGCTTGGATGGTCAATATTCAATTTAACTTAGAAGATTACGCCATTTTAAAAAAAATAAATCACCAGTGTTTTTTTTTTTCATGCGCTCATAAAAGCTTGATTGTGTTGCTCATCTAAATCTTATCTTTATTGCCATTTTAATTCTTATCTTTATTGCAAGAAAGTGATTAAATAAATGCAACTAAATTAACAATATCGAAACCATTTTTTTTCCTATTTAAATCTTATCAGAAGAGATTTAAATATAATTTTATTTTCTAATTTATTTTTTTTACTTTCATAATTTTTAAATAGTTTAGGAGAAATTAAGAAATTTCAGATGGTATCCTTATGTCATCATCTGTACGATTCTCTCTCGCTCACTTTTTTCCCTGCCGTTTTCAGAAATAAAAAATAGAACTAAGTTATACAGTATATACACACAGTATCAAGAATCGTTGGAGGGTGAAGAAAAATTAAATTATAGTTAAGTAATTGTTTTTTTGTTTTGTTTTTATGAAAAATAATATATTAATGTCTTTAGTAAAAATTGAAAAGTATTCTGTTTTAAGGTTGTTAACCGAACTGGTTAGTTAAACCTTGGGTTTATTCCTAGGCGAATAAGAAAACTTTTATGTTTAACTTTCAGTGCCCAATATTATTTTGTTTTCTTAATAGTTTAAATTATTCTTTCTATCAAAGTAAAACGTTATTGTTAGGAGTCAATACAATGTGTCATTTTATACCTAAATGACTTTTGTAAGATTTTTTTTTTAAATGCCATGCAACTTAAGTTGCGCCTGATCAATAATTGGTTAATAATTCAGACTAGCCGCACAGTTCGCTAGCGCAGTCAGTAGAGGTCTTCAAGACTATCTTGATCATGGCATGAATACCCAACATGGATGCCAACAGCCAGGCGAGTGTGAGGCAACCTCTACTCAATTAGATGTAGAGGAAAAGCGAATGTAGAGAAAGTGACTGAGAAGAAGACAGTATCACAATTTCTTGGTGTTTTAGAGTTCAGCAACTTAAAAAAAAAATATTTTGAAATTCAGAAAAGTTTGAATATTCAACCTTCCATAATAATACAAAAAATAAAATATGCTAAAATTCAAAAGAATAATGATGGAAAAAATAAAAAGAACCATTCTAATTCAAATATGGAAATTAAAACATTTTTTTATAGAATATTAAATTTGTTCGACATCTGGTTTGTTTATTTGAACTCTGGGACCTTAAAATGTGTATTTCCGTTTAAAAAATGAAAAAAAAAATGGTGTATGATTTGGGGAGAAAAGTTATAGAAATTGTAGTATAACAATTTATTTATTTTTTAATAATGGCACAATAAATTTATTTTTAATTTTCATTTGAATAAAACTGTTAAAAAAGCTTTTGATGAATTATTATTTCAAAGAATAATTAATAAATGCAAGTTTCATTACATTTCTTGAAAAAAAGTGTCGTTTCGAAAATGTACTTATGTTTCATATCACTTTTTTTTTCAATATTTAGGTTCCTTTTTAAAAAAAAAAAAAAAAAATAGTCCGTGGTAAAAACTCTTTTTATCGAATTATTAACATCCGCCTGAAACTTCGTTAATAGATAACAAAGGTGGCTTTCAAAAATATAGAGCCGTTTGTCCTATATTATCTCGTTATTTTGAAAATTTGCGAGTGTAGATCACGGCAAACGGAACAATATTTTTGAAGGCCACATTTTTTCTCGATTTTGTGATCAAATTATCTTATGATCCAAGTAAAAAGCAAATGTGTATTTACGAATTTTTAGTACCTAATTAAATCTACAAAGTTTGCATACCTCCAGATTGAAAACGCTCCAATTCCAAGAGTTTTCGTAAATAAAATTGTTTCAGACAATTTAGAGACAGAGTGTCTGTAAACAATCATTGTAATTGAGGTGTCATTAGTTTTTCATCTCGGAAAATGAATTTTACAAATTTTAGTATTCAAGGCTCCTTACCTACAGCAAATGGATAAGGGTGTCCTAAAAAAAAAAAATTGTAGAGAACCACTGCTCTAACTGATAAAATATCGATTTACATTTACATATCGATACGAAATATCGATGCATTTACATCGATATTTGGTCCCCTACATCCCATCCTTAGCCCACTGCCTACTCGATCCCTACATTAGCATGGGATACAGAGAAATAGGAGCCCCCGGTGAGGCCAACAAGAGGATCGATATCCGACAATGGGGCGAGGGACTAGTCAACTTGGGGTCAATGCATTTCATCCTGCCCGCTGCTCCTTCCTTCCTCTGCTTCCTGGTTCTTCTTGTCTTCAGGAGGATAATGGTCCCATCTGCACTACATGAAGTACGGTTGAATGGATTCCTTTTCCAGCTCTCAGGAGTGATGGATTTCTATGAATAAGGCATCGAACCAAAAAAGAATTTCATGGAGGAGCGACGAATCCAAATTTTAAAAATTGAAACTTTACTAAGGATGCA